CCCGGGCCCGGGGTCGGCAGCCATGGCCAGCTCGGAAGCCCCGGCGCAAGCGGGGGACCGCGCCGCCCAGGCCGCGAGGTAGGACCGTCCAGGGCCCCGCGTGGCGCCCCCGTGGGGAGGGGAGGCTGGACGGATTCCCTTCCCCCACCTACCGGCACCTTCTGCCTGGCGGGGGTAGGGGACCAGCGGGGTGCGGCACGGGCGCGGGGCGGAGCCACCAGCGGAGGGAGATGGGGAGGGGTCCCCGCTCAGGGTCCTGGCACCTCCGTTGTCAGCGGCTTTTTATAATGCCCCCTCCCCTTCCTCGGGCCATGTGAGAATTAACCCTTTCAACCGCCAGCTGCCATTTGGCCCATAGCGGCCAAAGCGTTACTTGTTTCTTTCAGTCCTCACCCCCAAACACAACTGGAGGTGGAGGCCTCCTGCCTTCGCTGAGGAAGACTCTGGGTGCAAGGCTGGGCATCTGCCAGCTTGGAGTTAAGTCTGTTCAGGCAGCTTGTCCCCAGCTGTCCGGGGCCTGAAAAGGGGGTGCAGGGTCTACCATCGCAGACGAGCAGGAGGGCCCTGGAGCTGAGGCCCTCCTGCATCCATCCACAGCCAGCTGGTTAGAGGGCAGGGACCTGTGGCTGAGGAACCCCGGGTCAGACTGCAGCCCTGGGCTTCCCAATGTACCAAGAGGTGGAGGTGCAAATACACCCCCCGACACCCCTCACTGTCACACACAGCGCAAAGCTGAACAGTCTTACACATACCCTCACCACTACTGCTATCACACATACAGGTACACAGACACACACCAACTCACATACACACATACAGGTACACGGAGTCAGACACACGCCAACTCACATACACACATACAGGTACACAGACACACACCAACTCACATACACACATACAGGTACACAATCAGACACACACCAACTCACATACACACATACAGGTACACAATCAGACACACACCAACTCACATACACACATACAGGTACAGTCAGACACACACCAACTCACATACACACATACAGGTACAGTCAGACACACACCAACTCACATAGACACATACAGATACACGGAGTCAGACACACACCAACTCACATAGACACATACAGGTACACAGACACACACCAACTCACATACACACATACAGGTACACGGAGTCAGACACACACCAACTCACATACACACATACAGGTACAGTCAGACACACACCAACTCATATACACACATACAGGTACAGTCAGACACACACCAACTCACATAGACACATACAGATACAGGTACACAGACACACACCAACTCACATACACACATACAGGTACACGGAGTCAGACACACACCAACTCACATACACACATACAGGTACAGTCAGACACACACCAACTCATATACACACATACAGGTACACAGACACACACCAACTCACATACACACATACAGGTACACAATCAGACACACACCAACTCACATACACACATACAGGTACAGTCAGACACACACCAACTCATGCCTGCACAGTATCACAAACACTTACAGCCACAGCCCTAATGGACAGAGCTGGGTGCTGCTGGAGTCCGCTGGGGACAGAGTGGCAGAGGCAGGCTGTTTGGGGCCAAGGAAGCCTCAGGTCAGCAGCCCCAGCTGAACTGGCTCCCCTGCCCCTGGGCCTCCCATAATCTACTTTCCCGCGTCCTTACAGAGAGGCAGCTGTGTGAGGGCAGCCTCTAGCCGAGGCCTGGCACTGTGGGCGGGGTGACTAAGACAACATGGTGTATGTTAACAGCACCACCTGGAAAGTCAGGAGGCCTGGGTTCTACTTCCAGATTTGCTACTCGACCTTGGGCAAGCTTCCTCCTTGGACCTCAGTCGGTTTCTGCCTTCCTTCCTTCTACAGAGCCCCACCCTGGGATACAGAGAGAAAGAGAACTTACTTGTCCTTAGAAAATGGAGTATCACAGGAGACAGACACATGCACTTCTTATAGCACAGAGCACTAAGTGCAAAGATGAGCTGCATACAACGTGCCTTAAGAATGCCAGGCACTCTGGGGTGGTCTGGGAAACACTTCACCGAGATGGACTTTAGCAGGGCTTGAATGAGGAGGAGAAATTTGTTAGGCAAATATATACAAATACACTTTGAATGCTGTGGGCCAAGCTCTAGAGTACCTGCCCTCATTGTTTGACCTCTCTGAGACCTCATGCCTATTCTAAGAGCTGAGTGGTCCAAAGGAGCTCCGAATAAAACACAAAGATAAATAAAAAAACAAAAACAGCTCTGGCTCTGGAGTGGAACCTTGAGTGAATTCTTTACTCTGTTTATGGTTTGGTTTCCTCATCTGTAAAATGGGGATAATAGATGAGCATCCTGTAAAGGAGTATTCATGTAAAATGCGTAGAATACTGCCATGAACACAGTCACGTCATTCCAGGGTGGAGGACTCCGCAGGAGGGTGATCTCGGGTCCGCCTGCTAGCTGCTGAGGATCAGGGTGGGTTCTGGCTGGCTGAGCAGGTGCATCCTTCCTGGGCACTGGGAGCTCTACCTTTCCAGAACTGTTCTCTAGTCGGGTGGTATACAGAGAGCAGTATTTCCTCAGCTGGGTCCTTTAGACATTGTGGGCCTGGGGTAGAAGGTATAAAAAGGTAATGCATGTTCCAGATGGTCAAGCATTGGGTGGGCTCCTGGGGCGTGAGACGAGGCTGAAAGGTATGTCGGGGCTACATCTTTAAGGGCCTTGAATCTCTGCTATGCAGTTGGTTATCTATGGGTGACGCAGGGCGACATGGTTTGCTTTATGTTGTAGCAAGTTGTAGAGCATAGACTAGGATGAGAAGGCCTGTTGGAAGGCTGGCACAGATTTGCAGGTGAGAGATGATGATTTGGACTAGGGCCCTGGCAGTGGATGGAGAGGGGGATGAGGACTGCAGACTTTGGGAGACAGAAGGGTTAGTTCTCGGTAAGTTGGCTGTATAGGGGAGGGACGAGATGTTTAAAGATTTCTTGTCTCATCAAGCTGGTGATGTGTTTCACTGAGCTGGAGAATACAGGTGCAGCAAGCTCAAGGTGAATAATAATCTAGGGCAGTTGAGTTTGAGGTGCAAAGTAACATCTGGTCAAGATATCTAAGAAGCACTCTCTCTCTGGTAAAGTGATGTGAATGGACTAGGTGACTGTCGAGGTTGTGTTGGAACTTTAGGTTTTGGTGTGGGTGCTGGGTTGAAGGAGGCCAGTGATGTTTGGGGCCTGATGAAACCATACTTTTGTCGTTTCCAGAGGGCCAACATGAGAAAACAAAAGGAACCCAGGGATTCCCGGGGTGTTAGAGAGGACAGAGTACAGGATGATTTAGAGTAAAAATAATCTTTATTGGGAACTTGGAATAAGATATAGAGCTTAAAACCTGGACACAAGTAGGCCTTTTCAAAACAGAGCAATCTAAATCTTTCATAGATGGAACTTTTTACTTTTACTTATACTTTATGTCTAAAAAATGTTTCTTGAAAGCAATAGTCAAATTTAGTTTGTTTTATAACTGACATACATTAAATATCAGTTTTTTTGAGTAAAGTACTTAATCGCTTTAACCTCAGTTTCCTGATCTGTAAAATGGGGATAAATGTAATTAACTACCTCATAGAATTGTTATGAGGATTAAATGAGTTGACATACATAAAGCATTTAAAACAGGGCCTGGCACACATAAGACCTCTATAATAATTATTATTTCCATGGTATTTTATAATTTCAAGGAATTGCTTAGAGATCCAAAGTAGGTGAGATGCATTTGAAACAGGAAAAACAAAGCCACTGGAGGGCCAAAGGAACAGGGGAGCATTTGTTGACAGGAACTGATCGAGCTAGCAGGCAATGGGCAGCTGGGTTATCGGGCTCATTTGTTAGAATCACAGAATCTAAGAGACTTTACAGGCTAGAAGGATGATTGACATCTTACAGGAACAGAGATGTGGTTTTACTCGCTGTGAAAAAGTCTTAAGAATTTTAGTCAAACTCAGCATTTGTCAAGAACATATGGGCCAGCCCTATATGCTAAGGGAATCCTGGCTGCATCAATAGTGTCCGGAGATTGACTGCTTAGAGCACACCTGGGTGTTGCTCCAATACCCAACCCCAAGGGACAGTGACAATTTGGAGCCTGGTCGGAAAGAAGTGACCCAAATGAGGAAGGCCCTGGAAAACTTGGCACGCATGGAATTGAAAGACACGTTAGTTCTTGTTAAGTGTTTAGAGAACTTACATGGGAAAGGAGTTAGACTTCTCTGATTCTAGAAAGAAGAATCAAGTCCAGGTAAAAAAGGTTTTACCTCAACATTAGAACTTTATGATAGCAAAACAAATAGTGGTTAGTTTCCTGGCCTTAAAGGTATGTAGCTGACTAGACTTTGACATCATGGGTATGTTGTCAGGGGATCTAAGCAATGGGCTGTGAGGGGATGAGTCAGTGGAGGGAAGGGAGCAGACAAGTGCTGAGATGTGAGAAGCTGATATGATTTAGGTCTATGGCCTAATGGCTCCAGCCATGAACCATCCTGGGATTGTGGCTGCCCTCTCACTTTAAGTCATTTCTTTTGCAGGGAAACAAGAGCACAGGCACTTCTTTTCAAGAGGGGGGACACTCTGAATGCTTGAATATAGAGGACATGCTCTTCCTGGGGGACACAGGTGACTTTGATGACATACTGTATCTGGAAGAGACTGAGCAGCCCGAGGAGACACTGCATATTGAGGATAACAGGCAGCCAAATGAGGCCGTGTGTGTGGAGGAGCCTGTGAAGCCGGAGGACACACTGTGTGTGGAGGAGCCTGTGCAGCAGGAGGACACACTGTGTGTGGAGGAGCCTGTGCAGCAGGAGGACACACTGTGTGTGGAGGAGCCTGTGAAGCCGGAGGACACACTGTGTGTGGAGGAGCCTGTGCAGCAGGAGGACACACTGTGTGTGGAGCAGCCTGTGCAGCAGGAGGACACAGTGTGTGTGGAGGAGCCTGTGAAGCAGGAGGACACACTGTGCGTGGAGGAGCCTGTGAAGCTGGAGGAGACAAGCCCAGAGCAGATGGCTTATGGGGGAGAGACGGTCACAAACGAAGAGAAGCCTAACCCTGAGAGCCTTGGCGCCGGGTCTAGTCCCAGCACAGAGGAGAGCCTGAGCATAGAGGACCTAGAATTGCTCGAGGGGCGTTTCCAGGAATGTGTCCAAGCTGTGGCCCAGCTGGAAGAGGAGCGGGATCAGCTCATCCATGAGCTTGTGTTGCTCCGGGAACCAGCTCTCCAGGAGGTGCAACAAGTCCATCAGGACATCCTGGATGCCTACAAACTGCATGCTCAAGCGGAGCTGGAGAGGGATGGGCTAAAGGAGGAGATCCACCTGGTCAAGCAGAAGCTGTTCAAAGTGACCAAGGAATGTGTGGCCTACCAATACCAGCTGGAGTGCCGCCAGCAGGACGTGGCCCAGTTTGCCGATTTCCGGGAAGTGCTGACCGCACGGGCAGCCCAGCTCTCAGAGGAACTGGCCCAGCTCCGGGATGTCTATCAGAAGCAGAAGGAGCAGTTACGGCAGCAAATAGAAGCACCTCCAAGCCAGAGGGAAGGACACTTCCTGCAGGAGAGCCGGCAGCTCTCTGCCCAGTTTGAGAACCTCGTGGCAGAGAGCCGCCAGGGCCTGGAGGAGGAGTATGAGCCTCAGCTGGTGCGGCTCCTAGAGAGGAAAGAAGCCGCTGCCAAAGCCCTGCAGAAAACCCAGGCAGAGATCCAGCAGATGAAGGAGGCTCTGAGGCCCCTGCAAGCAGAGGCCCAGCAGCTCCATCTGCTAAACAGGAACCTGGAGAACCAGATCACACTTGTGAGGCAAAAACGCGACGAGGAAGTGCAGCAGTACAAGGTAGGCCCAGAGGGCAGGAAAGGAATTCGGTCTCTTAGCTTGGGGAAGGGAAAGGGAAGGGGTCAAATATCCTTTGGGCTGAAGGACACACACTGTCATATGTAGGAACGACTTCTTTTGAGGTCTGTGGTAGAGGCTGAAATTGACTTGCTAAACCCTTTTATACCAATTATCTCATTTGATCCTCTCATTAATCCCCCAAATCCTTTATTATTATTTTTTTAAATATATATATATATACATATACACACATATATATATATATATATATATTTCTTTTTTTTTTCTTTTGTTTCTAGTATATATTTTATTGATTTTTTACAGAGAAGAAGGGAGAGAGATAGAGAGTTAGAAACATCGATGAGAGAGATCGATCAGTTGCCTACTGCACGCCTCCCAGTGGGGATGTGCCCGCAACCAAGATACATGCCCTTGACCGGAATCGAACCTGGGACCCCTCAGTCCGCAGTCCGACGCTCTATCCACTGAGCCAAACCGGTTCGGCTATATATATTTCTTTATTGATTTCAGAGAGGAAGGGAAAGGGGAGAGAGAGAAACATCAATGATGAGAGAGAATCATTGATCGGCTGCTTCTTGCACATCCTCTACTGGGGGTCGAGCCCACAACCCAGGCATGTGCCCTTGGCCGGAATCGAACCTGGGACCCTTCAGTCTGCAGGCCGCTCTATCCACTGAGCCAAACCGGTTTTGGCAAGAGTAATTTTTTGTAAAATGTTTTGTTTTTAGAGAGGAAGGGAGAGGGATAGAAACATCAATGAGACCATCATCGATTGGCTGCCTCCTGCATACCCCCCACTTGGGATCAAGCCTACAACCCCGGGCATGTGCCCTGACTGGGAATCAAACTGTGACCTCCTGGTTCATGGGTCAACGTTCAATCACTGAGCCACTCCAACCAGGGAAAAACCCTCTTGATGAGTGTCTTTCATAGCTTTACCATAATTAAAGGAATCAAGGTCTGAAGGAGCTAATTCTTTCTGAATGGCTTCTTAAATTGTCAAAGGTCGCTTATGGCACCTGATTACTTTTCAAAGGTACACTTTACTCTTACAATTGTAAACACTGCCTCTTTCAAATATTCAACAGATATTATCTACTTACTATGTGCCTGGGAGTGAACTATGTGCTGACAAAAGAAGTGAGAAATGGGGAGGGGGAAAGAGTTCCTGCTCTCCAACAGTTTACAGTCTAGGAAGGATACCAGATAAAATGAACATATTTCATAAAATCTAAGACTCTTGATTTTAAGATGCACTCTGATCTGTTAAAATGTCAAAGCCTTAGAATCAATGAAATACAAGACTTCAATGTGATAAACACTGTAATAGTTATAGGAATAAGGCATGTACTGTTGAAGCATGTATAATTGCCCCTGCCTAGAAATTTTGAGGATCGGTTAATAGACGGCATATAGTTGAAGTTCTTTACATGTAGTAATTCATTTAATTCTTACCTAAGATAGGTATGAACTACTGTCATCATTTGAAAAATGAGAAAACAGGTGAGAAAGAAGTCATTTGTCCAAGGTTATGCATCTAGGACGTGATGCATATAATAACCCTGAGCAATCTAGCTCAAGCCCATAGTCAACCACAATGTGTTTGTATAAATGAATTCATGGGGTAGACAAGGGAAAGGCTTTCCAAGCAGAGGGAACAGCCTACACAAAAGCAAGAAAACACAAAAAGACATACTATAGGAAGTGAGGGTGGCTGGATCATAAGGAATGTGAGCAGAGTGATGAGGCTGGAGAGGTAGATGGGGATCAGAATGTAAAGGGCTTTGTGTAATCTTTGATAAGCAGTTTTCAAAAAGTTTTCTCTAAAGCCAGGTCCTTTCCACAAAATAGAATTTTAGATGAAATGCCAATATATAAAACAGGCAAAAGTGGAGCTACTAATTAGTGGCAAGGGCACTTCATTTTGGCTTCTTCCTGGGTTTCATGGGACAGTTTGAAGATCACCAAAGAGCCGTAAGAATATGAGCTTGTGCAAGTTTGTCTTAATGGAAACAAACTTGCACAAGTCCTGGCTCTACCACTTTCTAACTGGGGGAAACTTTGGACAATTACTTAATCCAATGGCTCTGCTCCCTCACATGTAATATACCTCATTTGCAAGGAATGAACCAGTTAATGTTTGTAAAGCACGTGCAATGGTGCCTGGCCCATAGGTATGTACTCATAAAAGTGGCAATATGGTGGGTGGATTGAAAAAGCCTGAAAGACAACTTAGACTTTATGAGAGAGATGATGTGAGATATGTAGGATAAAATGGTAGGTCTTGGTGACTGGCTACAGTGGGTGGGGTGAGAAATTTGCTGAGAATGTTAACTGGAAATTGGTAGGTTGCTAATGCAGAAATGGGGCAGATAGTAAATATTTACTATCTGCAAGTTTCCCATCAACAGGCATTATGTGTACTCCCAGGAACCTACAATCTGGGAGTTACACATGAATTTAAAAGATAAATAGCAATACAACAGCAGATGCTGTCTATTGTGTCAGAAGTAAAGGCATAGAGATCTGAGTTCGTCAGGCTTGAGCAGCACTGTCCAACACAATCTCATGCAAGACACAGATGCCATTTAAAATTTCTAGTGACACTTAAAAAAATAGGTGAAATATTTTATGTAACCCAGCATATAAAAACATAATTTCTTCATGTAGCCAAGTCTTAGAAATCTTACACTTATAGACATCTCAATTTGGACGAGCCATATTTCAAGTCCTCACTAGCCCCATGTGGCTAGTGACTTCCATACCGGATAGCGCAAGATACAGGAAAATGTTCATATTGAGAGTAATGGAGGTTCTAGTTAGAGGCAGGGGTAAAACTGGAGGGCGTCTAGATTAAAGGAAGTGGGAAGCCTTTGAAAGATTGAGATAGAGCAGTTTTTAGTAAATTAATCTATTGGCGCTACATCAGATTAAGACTGGAGGTTGTCCTTAATGCCAGTCATTGTAGCAATGTATCTTTCACCGAGTTTCTTCCTGTCAGAGCACTGATGGTACAGACTGCCTTCTCAAGCATGTACTTTTGTGCCTTGTCAAAATAACAGGTTTGCTAGTGGAATTTGGGAAATCGGGGCAGAGGTATGAAAATACTTCCCTTCAGATGACATGAGAGTAAGGCCCCATTTCTGTGTGGTGTCAGAGCATGACTAAGCACTAAAAAAGGCCTTTTGATAATGTTTATGTAAATTGAGATTCAGCCAGAGTATCAACCATTGCAGATTGATGTGCCACAGGTATTATAAAGGATGACTCAGAGAACAAATTATTTAGATACTTCTAATAACATGTACCCAAACTGGATTCCTATCTTTTTTCTTTTTAAAATATTGATTTCAGAGGGAGATAGAAACATCAATGATGAGAATCACTTGGCTGCCTCCTGCACGCCCCCTACTGGGGATTGAGCCTGCAACCCAGGCCATGTGCCCTTGATTGGAATCGAACCTGGGACCCTTTAGTCCGAAGCTCTATCCACTGAGCCAAGCCAGCTAGGGCTGGATTCCTATCTTACTATTCCTCAAAATTTGATAAGTCACTGCCCTTTTAAAATATGCCTTCAAACTTTAATGCTTTCCCAACTCCCTCACACTTCCTAAGGATCCATGCCAGCTAGGAACAAACACCAGACTGATTTGCTGACACCTTCCTTACCTCATTCCTCAGGCATTAAACCTCAGCAGAGACAATTTACAGAATGCATCCTGCCTGGTGGCAGAATGGGAAAGTTATCTGAAAGCTCCAGAGGGCCCACAGGGCATAGCATCTTTTTTCGTTTTTAAAGAAATTCTATTATTCTTTTTTTAAAAAAAAATATATTTTATTGATTTTTCACAGAGAGGAAGGGAGAGGGATAGAGTTAGAAACATCGAGTGAGAAACATCGATCAGCTGCCTCCTGCACATGTCCCACTGGGGATGTGCCCGCAACCAAGGTACATGCCCTTGACCGGAATCGAACCTGGGACCTTTCAGTCCGCAGGCTGACGCTCTATCCACTGAGCCAAACTGGTGCTGGCAAAATTCTATTATTCTTTTTAAAAATATGTATTTTTATTGGTTTCAGATAGGGAAAGAAACATCAACGATGACAGAGAATCATTAATTGGCTGCCTCCTGCACATCCCCTACTGGGGATCGAGCCCACAACCTGGGCATGCGCCCTTGACTGGAATCGAACTTGGGACCCTTCAGTCCGCAGGCCGACGCTCTAGCCACTGAGTCAAACTTGCTAGGGCTAGCATCTTTTTCCAACTTAACATTTTTTTTTTAACAAATTCAGTCTTAATGGAAACAAACTTGCTCATAGAGTAAGCAAGAGGTGTATAAAATTCTCAGCTCACCAAGAGGACCAAAATCCTCCCCAACACTTCTTAACATTGTGAAACTAAAAGTCCCTCTGAGTACTGCCGTTGCAGGATTACATTAAGTAAGCTGTGGGTGAAGGACAAGACTCCTTTCTTCACCATCTTCAAATGGAGTATCACTTTGTCAAAACAAATCTGTTTCAACCTTAATACTTCCATGAAGATTAAACAATATACAAGAAAGTGCTTTGTAAACTATAATGGACAATGTAAGATTTTTATTGTTCGGCTCATCAGGTATGTTCTTGGCCCTCTTATGCAGGAACAGCTGGAGAAAATGGAAGAACAACAGACACAGTTAAGAAACGGAGTGCAACTCCAGCAACAGAAGAACAAAGAGATGGAGCAGCTAAGGATCAGCCTTACTGAAGAGCTTTCAACTTATAAGTCAGTTTTTGCTGCTTACCCAAATCTCAACTAACACTGGCTGACGAGATGGGTGGTGAGGAGGGCAGATGTTGCTTGAGGGAAATTTCACTCAACAGTGGGAGACAAATGAAAACTGGGAAATTTTTTTCATCCATGAACAGATGGAAAATGGCTCTCTCTTTTTTTTAAGGGCTATGCTACCCAAGAGCCCGGAACAGGCTAATACTCCCACTTCTCAGGCAGGTGGAATCGAGACACAGTCTCAAGGTGATCCTTGTGGGTACAAGAGTGGAGTTTGCATTTTACTTTCTTAACAATACTAATACCTTAAAAGAACTTAAGTGTGTGTCTAATGACAAATCATGTAGGGGTAACACATACCTCCAAACTGCCTGGTTCAAGCATTCAGGGTTCATTTGGAATGCTTGTTTCTGATAGGACTAAAAAAATATGCCCTAATTATCACCAGGAATTCTGTAACAGGATAAAATATCTAAGCTCTACATTCTCCCACCTTACCCCACCTGCTATTCATAAATAGTTTCCTTAGAATAGCAGAAGGTAGTTATGCTACCTAAATTCAAACTATGACAAAAGAGGCCAAGGCAGCAAAATTTATCTGTATAGAAAAGCTGAAGAGGGTGTTGTTTATAAGCGGAGGAACAGGATTATTGCTTAGTATGTGAAACAAGCAACACACCTATCCATTAATTTCTCTATATACCAGTATGTTCTCATTTTTCACATTTTAGATTCTCTTGGATAAAGAGACTAAGAATAAAAAAGGTCTGTCAAGTATATACTAGTTAGATGCCCATAAATTTTATTCTCAATTTCCTAGTTCATCTTACAGCTTGGATACAAACTCACAAATGACTACTGTAACTAATGCTTTTCCTAACTCACTAGGACTTTCTTTTACTGTGTTTTTTCCAGGCATAACAGATTGCGCTTATTGTTTGGGAGATTACTAGAACCATGTAATTGAGGAAAATGATCTGCTAAACACCTTTGTGTGGATCAGATTAAAAGTACAATAGGGAAAAAGCAACGATTAATTCAAAGAAACAAAACTACAGAATTTCAGGCACTGTAATACCTGTGTAAATTTAACCTGGACAGAGAAAAATTTTAGCTAGCCCCTCCCATCACCATCACACATTCATTACTTTGCAAATAAGAATCACCCAAATATTTCATAGGGGAAAGTCAACCCTGATCATATGTGAGTCAGTGTCTAGCAATCTCTCCCCGCAACAAAACCTACAATAAATTTCCTAAGTTCAGTCATAAACTTTATACTGCACTAGAGACCTGGTGCACAAAATTCGTGCACTGAGGGGGAGGGGGCAGGGAGGGGGTCCCTCTGCCTGGCCTGCACCCTCTCGCAGTCTAGGAGCCAGCAGTTGGACAACCTTAGCACTGCCATGGAGGTGGGAGAGGCTCCTGCCACCGCCACTGCTCTTGCCAGCCATGAACCCAGCTTCTGGCTAAGCAGTGCTAGGGGGAGCACACTGACCACCAGGGGGCAGCTCCTGCGTTGAGTGTTTGCCCCCTGGTGGTCAGTGCGCATCATAGTGATCGGTCATTCCACAGTTCGGTCGATTTACATGTTAGCCTTTTATTATATAAGATTATTTAAAGTTGCAGAAATAATAAATTTATTCTTTTTTTCTTTCAATCTTACAGGAGCTGTTTAGAAATGTATGGCCGAATCTGTAACCCAGAAACAACCAAAAAAGCTTCTTAACAAAGGATCACTTAAGTACCCTTTTCCAAACACAGAAGAGAGTGCCAGGGACTTGGCAAGCAATTCACCCTGGGGAAGATACAAATACTGGCTGGCCTGTTTAAAAAGATTCTAGGCTGGTTGGAGGCAGAACACACCAGACAGCTCTTAGCTGGATTCTATTTCACAGGCTGCTGGTAATTTCAATGCACGAAGGAACAGCAAAAAAAAAAAAAAAAAAAAAAAAAAAAGAGCCTCCTGTCCCTCCCTCCTGTCCACCAGCAGCAAAGGATGAATATATGCACCCCTGCAGCCTTGTGCAGAATGAAACTTGCCTTGTTGTTGACCTAAACCAAAAACATTTGTTTTGGAGCACAGGTGGGGTCAAAAGGCAGCCAATTTTCATTATATGGGTTTATAATTTGAATTCTTTTGTGCCACGAGTGTTGGACTTTTAATGAATCCTTTTACAAAGTTTACTTTTTATGCTGACACATAGTTTACTCTTGTGTCAAGATAATTTTCACTATACTCTAAAAGAACTTAGTTCCAGAAAAAAAGGAACTAAATTTGAATCGAAAATGATTTTTGGTGAGTAATCTACTCAGTTAAACTGAGTGATTGCAAAGAACCAGGCATTTTATCTGGTTATGGTATGTGGCTTTCAGCCTTTATTTCTCACTTCTAAGAACAGGTCCCAGTGAAAAACATACTGGGGAGATTCAACCTCTATATGAGAAAAGGTTCAAACACCTTTTCCAAATTTAAATTTTGCCTTACAATCTTTCTGCCACACTGCCTTTGACATGCTTGAAAGTCCATGTAGTTCTCTATGAATAGACTTCAAAAAGATGTTATTTTATCAAAGACTAATCTGTACACCTATGATTCAATGTTTTGTGTCTTTCACTTTCCCTGTGAAGGAGTAAAACTGTTTTCTATAGCTCTGGGTCTATTATAATTAATTCTGCTCTTGGTAGTCAAAGACCACAGAAAATAACTGTCATCTGAAGAATTCTTCTAGAAGCCAGAGACTGGTGTTTGATAGATATTATATTATATACTAAATAAAGCCCATCAGCATTGGGTTATGTAGAAAAGCAATTTATTTCATTATAAGCACTTACACAGTTAGTCATAGAGAGTAACAGGCCTGTTAGTGAAACAGGTCACCCAAAACAGAGATGGTATCAAACTAGTGGTCAAGGACTAACTCCTAAAAAAAAAAAAGCAACTCTTATCCAGGATTAATTTAATTTTAAAAACAAATACAAGCTATAGATTCACTCTTCTCAACTTAGCTGGACAGCCTACCTGTGGTATAACTGTCAGGTAAAAACATACATCTTTACAACTTGGTGGTCCCAAGTTTTTAAAAAAAAACCATTTCACAGAAAGGAAAGAAATAATATGAAATCAGCTCAAGAAATACACTAACAAGCAAAAATATATGGAAAACAGGAACACATACTTTTGACTTAAGAAACGGAGAGGAGACTAGTCTACGTAGGAAATGTGCATCCTGGAAAGTCAGGTGTGAAGATTTTAGAGTAGGAAGTTATGACTCAAATCTCCCCTAATTCCTGAATAAAAACATCTTGCAGTACTTACACTTCATGGCTCACACACCTACCTCTCTTGGCTCTATTCCTTATTTACTTCTAGCCTTTACTTAAATGAGCCTGAAAAATGTGGGGATATGGCATACAGAGAAAAATAAAATAACCACACACAATATTCCCCTTTCAGTGGCTACTTTAGATCTTTGATACTAGAAAATTCCTGAAAAAAATTTAAATATTAAGTCTGTGGCTTTGCTGAATCAAGCCCCTCAGTTAATATTTAGAAAACACCCTTGGATTGGGTTAATAACATTGTTGATGGTACCTATTATAGAGGGATAGCTGAACAAAGTCTGTGTCTCAGAACCAGTGTTAAATCACTATCAGGGTTGAGAGGAAAAGGGCAGGCAGTCTAAAATTACAAGTGCAGACGAATCTAGGACCCCTGTCCTTCTGGATCCACACTTCCTTCAGGGTCTTCATCATTATAAATATTCTCTGCCTGTCCAAAAAAACAAGAAAAAGAGAAAAGGGTATTTAGTAAACATGAACGCAAGTTCTTAAAGTTAAGGTTTCAAAAATAGATTAGGTCAGGTAAAAGGTTATGGGTCATATAGTCTCTGTTGCAACTATTCAACTCTGCAGTTCTTGGATGACAGCAGCCTAGACAATCTGCAAATGAATGGGTATGTCTGTGTTCCAATAAAAGCAGACAGCTGGCCCACAGGCCAACACCCTGGATTAGGACATTCCCACAAAACTTAAGTACGGTTACTGAATGTCTTGATAATCAACCTTCTTGAGTCCTTCAGTCAGACATCATTCATCATAGTAAAAAGCCCTGGCTGGTGTGGCCCAATAGGTTGAGTATAATCCTGTGCACTGGGAAGTGCACCAGAAATTGATTCTGGGTCGACCCTTGGTTGCAGGCTCAATCCCCAGTAGGCAATGGACATTTTTCTCTTTCCCTCTCCCTCTCCCTCTCAAATCACTAAAAATAAATACAAAAATAAAAATAAAGTAAAAACACAAATGTTCACAGACTAATGCATAAATAAAATGATATATCTATACAATATTATTTGACAATAAAAAAACCCAGTCATGACCTAGCCGGTTTGGCTCAGTGGATAGAGCGTCGGCCTGTGGACTGAAAGGTCCCAGGTTTGATTCCAGTCAAGGGCACATGCCCAGGTTGTGGGCTTGATCCCCGTTGGGGGTGTGTGCAGGAGGCAGCTGATCAATGATTCTCTCATCACTGATGTTTCTATCTCTCTCTCTCTCCCCCTCTCCCTTCCCGATTAAAACAAACAAACAAACAAACAAACACATACAAAAAAACCAGTCACATATTGTGATTTTACTTATATTGATTTTACTTATATTAAATGTTCAGAATAGGCAAATCCATAGAGAAAGTAGATTGGTGGTTGCCTAGTGCTGGGTGGACTGGAGGAAAATGGGGAGTGATGGCTAATGGATATGGGTGGTTATCTGACTGGAGTACTGGTTGCATAATTCTGTGAATATACAAAAATCACTGAATTATGTAAAAAAAAAAAAAAAAAGAAAAAAGAAAGAAACCCCATCCCACCATCACTGTATGTTCCAAATCTTAATTTATAATTTTTTAAAATGAAAAAATGCTCTTGCATATAAAAAACTCTACTTCTAGTTCTTGATGAAACATCTGTATACAATGGCATAATGTTAATTACAGACACCACTTTCATTTAGACAAAATTTACTGTTCTTAGTTTAGCACCTACTATGCATAAATCACCAGGCTAGGTGCTACAAAGTATGGGATACACTTGTTTTTGAGGAGCTTGTGATCTGACCGCAGGGAAATGTATACAATTGTGTGTTTTCTGACAATGAATGTATAATGCCTTTTCCCCTGACACCAATTCTCTAATGCCAACTGGGCATCCAACATGTCACCTCAATCCTGACATTAACTAATTAGAGGTAGTGCTAGACTCCACAGGTTTGAGGGATGTGACTAAGGGCTCAGTGCCACAAGACTATCCTCACTTTGGGCACCAGTAATATGAGTGCTATGAGTACCCAGGCTACTTGTTACTTATAAGGAGTCCCTTATAAATAAATTTGTTGACTATAAATGTGGGGATTCCACAACCCTCTACTCAGGTTTGATAATATGCTGGAATGACTCACTAAATTTAGGTAAGTGCTTTATTTACTACTAAAGGCCCGGTGCACTGATTTGTGCACCAGTGGGGTGCCTCAGCCTGGCCTGCACCCTCTTGCAATCCAGGAGAGCCCTTGGGGGATGTCGGACTCCTGGTTTCGGCCCGATTCCCGCAGGCCAGGCCGAGGGACCCCACAGGTGCATGAATCCGTGCATCATGCACCTGGCCTCTAGTATGCATATAAGATCTTTGGTTAATCTCTTCTCGCTTCCCCCTGAGATTCATCAGTCTGTTCCATGTTTCCATGCCTGTGCATTGAGCGTCTGCACCCCTGGTGGTCAGTGCGCATCATAGCTACCAGTCAAACGGTCAGACACTTAGCATATTAGGCTTTTATATATATAGATTACTGGTTTACTATAAAGGCTAGAACTCAGAACAAATGGAAGAAATGCATAGGGCAAGGTGAGGAGGGAGGACAGAGCTTCCATGTTGTCTCTGGGTGGCATCAATATGTTCACCAACCTGGAAGTTGATCAGATCAAGAGCTTTTTATAGGGTTTTCCAAGACTTTTTATAGAGCTCAATCCCCTATCTGCGGGTTAGTGGAACTGAAAGTTCTAACTCTCTAATCAAGTGTTTGGTCTTTCTGGAGACCAGCCTCATCCTGAGGCTATATCTAGGGGCCCCTTAAGTCACCTCCTTACCCTAAACTAAGGTGTGCCCCAAAGGGACTCCTTATAAATAGCAATAGACTCCTTTGTAATAATTATGCATGGTGTCAGATGGGTACTAGATTTACCAGGTGATCATTTCTTAAAGTCAGTGATTTTCAACTTTATCTCATGACACACAAACTAACCACTAAAATTTTGCAGCAAACCAAGAAATGAAATTTTTTTGATTCATTAACACTGGATGGCTACTGTTGTATTGGCTATTGTCTTTTTTAATTTAGTTTTTACAATTTAAGGGAAAAGAGGTCAATGCCCCTGACTAAATAGTCAGGTATTGCCTGTTTTAAAAATTCTTGTGGCACACTGGTTGAAAATCACTGTCCTAAGTTATATAAATGTCTAATCAGTGTGCTGTATACCCAAAACTAATACAATCTTATATGTCAACTGTAATTGAAAAAATTTTAAATTATTTTTTAAATATAGCAAGAGACTCCTACCACTCAGGAAATGCTAAGGTTTTTGGGCACTTTGTAACAGAAACTAGAACAGAAACCAAGTATTTATTTCTTACACCACAATTTTCCTTTTTTTTTTTTTACCACAATTCTTACACACACACCCACACCCACACACACACACTGAGTAAAGTAACAACCTGGCCTGGAATTAATGGCCTTGAAGGTTATGGAGTTCAATATCCTACAACATTCCCATGGAAACTACTAAAATACCTTTAATTGAGAGATTATCCAAGGAAGCCCATTTCACCTTCCTGTTAGAATTCAACATTTTATATTAATTTTCTGTGTGTGAGGTGGATTTTCTGTTCACACATGTAACACATCCTTGAAGTATACAAAGAAATCAATTAACTCTCTAAATGTACCAACCATATTTTGGTAAACAGACTTCTAAATAAAGATCTACAAGTATTTAAACAGAAGATCAGATACACATAATTTAAAAATGAGATTCCACCATGCTGTTCTGCAACCTGCTTTTTCTCTACTTAATAGCACTGTCATGAGTATCTTACAAAGCTAAGCACACTTCTTTGATACATACTATTCCAAAGTATGTTTATCATTTGTTAATCACATAGGCCACAAACACTCTCATCAATAGTGCGATTCGGTAGGAAAGGTTTATATTTTTTAACAGTTTTTAAAACTATGTTTTATTGATTTGAGAGAGAAAAGGAGAGATAGAAACATCAATGCATGTGCCCTGACTGGGAATCGAACCAGCAACCTCTTGGTACATGGGTTAACGCTGAACCACTGATCCACACCGGCCAGACTATAGTAAAGTTTTAAAACATTTTTCCTCATGTTGAGCCAAAAACTTTCCCCTGGAGTTTATTCTTGGCTCTAGATCTATCCTGAGAAACCAAAAGTTTCTTTGAAATTATTTTCATTATTCAGGGTATAATCACTGAAAAGCCATACAGCTGTTTTTTTTTTTTAAAATTGTAGTAAACACAAACATAAAATTTACCATACTATCACTATCACCCATCTCTAGAATATATGTTTTATTGCATTGCTATATATTAGAGATTACAGTTTTCTCCATTAAATTTCAAGCACTCTAAAAATGACATTGTGGTAGAAACTGTGCTAGGCATGTTCACAGATCATTTCAAGGGAATAACCTTTCCTAGATATTCAATTGCTAGCCAAGAGAGAGAAACAAGAGGCAAGCCAACAAATAGGAGGTTACTTCAATAGTCCAGCAAGTGGTAATGAGAACCTGGGCAAAAAACTAGGGCAGTGATGGCGAACCTTTTGAGCTCGGCGTGTCAGCATTTTGAAAAACCCTAACTTAACACTCCGGTGTGGGGTGAATTTCCCGCCAAAATATAAGATGGCTCTGTCTTTTGGTTTTGTTCCATCCACCAAAAGGGTGGATTACAAACAAATATTTGGTAATACGCAGTTACAATCGGCCCGAGTTTACACGTTTCCCGCACTCCACCGCAAATCTATATGAACCGAGTTAAAGACGGCTCCCGCGGAGTACGCGCAATTCACGCGAGCTGACTTAACTCGTTTCCCCCACTCCAAGTGTTAACTCTGGTGCCATGTCATATATAGAAATTTTTTGATATTTGCAACCATAGTAACCCTAACTTTACTCTGGTGCCGTGTCACATATAGAAATCTTTTGATATTTGCAACCATAGTAAAACAAAGACTTATATTTTTGATATTTATTTTATATAAATGCCATTTAACAAAGAAAAATCAACCAAAGAAATGAGTTCACGTGTCACCTCTGACACGCGTGACATAGGTTCACTATCTCTGAACTAGGGTGTGGAATAGACAGGAAAGTTGGAATGGATGTATTTGTAAGATGAGTATAGATTGGAGAAACATTGCAGAGCTAGACAACATAAAGTCTGATAAGTGAACTAGACCTAAAGGTGAATATATAGTGGAGGAGAACTTCAATTTTCAAGTGTGGTGAGATGGGGAAATACTAAAGCCATATGGAAAACAGCCAAGTCAGAAGGATAGGGGAGTAGGGAGAATGGGGAAAGAAGCAAAGTCCAGTTTAGTTGAGTCTGAGATACCAGTGGGATAACCAGATGAAGATAAAGAGCAGGAAGTTGAAAATGATATGATAATGTACGGACAAGCACTAAAATCACACAAAGGAGCACACTGAACAGAAATGCCAGTTGTATTCATTAAGTATAGAAATATGAAGTGACAGTCTACCTCCTTTATTTAACCTCCCCAAAATGACTAAATACTCACCATCTGCCACACTTGCATGATATTGTCTTCTGACACAGAACAGATCACCCAAGGTTCATTGGGATTCCAAGAGAAATCAGATATCTTGGCAGTGTGACCACCATGAATAAACTGAAGAAGGGAGGAAAACAGATATAAAAAGCAGATAGAGGATATTAAATTACAGATTACTTCAATTGCTCAATGTTTGTGCATACCAACAACTCCGGTGGCCCATCTTCTGCATCTTCGGGGGATTGTTCCTCTCCAATTTTACTAGCACAAAAAGATTTTCAAAAGTTAAAACAGATTTTTCCTAACTAATTTTGGAAAGTATAAATAAAAGAAAATAATTCCACAAAAAAGTAACTAATACAACAAGACTTACCTTAAATCCCAGACATTCAGTCTGCGATCAGTACCACTGGAAGCCAAAATAGTCTCATTGTGAGGTGACCACTGAACCTACAGAGAAGAATAAAGGAAACAGAAGTTTTGTTTTTTTAAATGTATTTTATTGATTTTTTACAGAGAGGAAGGGAGAGAGATAGAGAGTTAGAAACATCGATGAGAGAGAAACATCGATCAGCTGCCTCCTGCACATCTCCTACTGGGGATGTGCCCGCAACCCAGGTACATGCCCTTGGCCGGAATCGAACCCGGGACCCTTCATTCCGCAGGCCGACACTCTATCCACTGAGCCAAACCGGTTTCGGCAGGAAACAGAAGTTTTCAACTACAAAATTGAGTGAAAAGCACCTAAAATTATATTTAACAATTCAAATTTTTATACATAAAAAGAGAATTCCAAGTATTTTTACGAAATTGATTTATACAGAGAGAGACAGAGGTGAAGGGGCTGAGAGGGAGAAACGGAGCGGGTGAGAGACAGAGACAGAGAGAGAGAGAGAGAGAGAGAGAGAGAGAGAGAGAGGAAGAGATTTGATGTTGCACTTAATTATGCATTCACTGGTGCCTTTTTGTATGTGCCTTGACTGGAGATCGAGCTTGCAACCTTGGCATATTGGGATGATGCTCTAACCAATTGAAAATTACCTTGCCAGGGCCTCTAAGTATTTTAGACATAAAGTTAAAACTGACAAACAAGATCATTTTTGGTATGAAAATAACCCATTATTAGACCTAGGATATCAGCTTTTCCTCTATTTGATCTTATATTTTTGAAGACCTTTTTATTTATTCTGGCCTCCAGCCAAATGTAATCAAATTCTGACCTAAGAACTATAGTACAGATCACACAATTTCCCAAGTACTTATTATGAATTCAGTGCTATACATAAGATTAAAAATGACTCATTACAACTATTTTATTAAAATAAAGTTAGCTACTACATAGACAACTCATAATTATGAAAACTGTTTGGTAAGCCCTAGCTGGTTTGGCTCAGTTGATAGAGTGAAGGGTCCCGGGTTCCATTCTAGTCAAGGGCACGTACCTTGGTTGTAGGTCCTTGGCCCTGGTCAGGATGTGTGCAGGAGGCAACCAATCAATGTGTCTCTCTTACATTGATGCTTCTTTCTGTCTCTCCCTCTACCTTCAACTCTCAAAATCAATGGAAAAATATCCTTAGGTGAGGATTAAAAAAATGAAATAAAATTATCTATCATCTATCTATCTATCTATCTATCTATCTATCTATCTATCTATCTATCTAAAAGGCTAATATAATATGCAAACTGTCCCCTTGGGAGTTTGACCAAGGGTTCGATTGCTTGCTATGATGTGCGCCAACCACCAGGGGGCGGCACAGAGTGAAGGAAGGTCTCGGCCAGCAGCCAGGAGGCCACAATTGGCCCTGATCGCCAGCCAGGCCTAGGGACCCTACCCGTGCATAAATTTCGTGCCCGGGCCTCTAGTAATCAATCAATCAATCTATCTATCTATCTATCTATCTAAAAGCCTAAGTGACCGTTACAGTGGAACGACCAGAACAACCGGTTGCTATGACACGCACTGACCACCCCGATTGCATGATCAGGCAGGCCTACCGGCCAACCTCCCTGTCCTTTCCCCTGGCCAGCAGGTGCCAATTGCCTGCCCGATGGGGAATGGGTGGCGGTGGACGCAGGTGGAGCCAAGGTGGGTGCAGGTGGGGAGCGGGGCCAGCTGCTGGGGGAAGGCCCAGGCTGGCCAACCTTCTGGTCCCTGAAGGCTTTTGAAAAACCTCTCTGGGGAGGCTTTTCTTCCCCCCCTAGCAGCGCACAATTCAAAGGTGCTAGTTGCAGAGCCGCCTGCCACGGAGTCGCCCAATCTCTCCCCACCCAGTCAGACTGAGTCTAGTGTGGGAGGGTGGACCACCCTGAGCCGCTGCCCGCAGGCAGGAAGCTGGCAGGGGTCAGGCATGAACACAGAGGCCTTGGAGCTGGACCACCCGACCCCCAGCGTGCTCTCTGCCTGGAGGCGTCCAGCTGCAGACCTCCGACCCCATTAACTGGATCATTGTGGGGTAGAAAGCGACCTGGGAGGGTGAAGTAATAAAACTTGGGGCGAGTACCACTGGTGCAGTCCCTGCGACCTTCCCCTCCCAGGATAATGCTGCACTCCCTAACCTCTTGGGAGCCAAGATAAATGTGGATTCACAAACAGGCAGGCCCCTGAGGAGCTTCAGCTGGGGGACGAGAGGAGTTACTTCTGACACCTCCACCCTTTGCTTTAAGGCTATATTCTCCTTCTCTAATACATGTTGCTTGAGGTACATGATGGTTTGTGTGTAGACATACAGTAAACATGGGGAAAACAAAGTTTTGTGCTTTAGAACAAAAGAGTCTGGAATCTTTGATGGGGGGTTTCTCTCTCTCTCTCTCTCTCTCTCTCTCTCTCTCTCTCTCTCTCTCTCTCTCTCTCTCTCTCTCTCCTTCCTCCTCTCTTCCCTGCCCTGGCAAATCTTCACGCAGAAAGTTAACCCTAGCTCCTCAGAAGGCACCCTCGCTGGAGTGGCCTCTGTTTTGTTTTTTTCTAATCTCTAAACCGGCAGTTGGACATCCCCTGAGGGGTCCCAGATTGTGAGAGGCCACAGGCTGGGCTAAGGGACATCCCCCTACCCGCCCTATGCACAAATTTCGTGCATCAGGCCACTCTTCTCTGTTTGGTAAGGAAGTCCTAGCTTCATGGTATAGATAAGAGGGCATTAGCAACCAGTATTTAAGGAAGAATTTGGATACCCTCCAGGCAACACCACCATTATAAGCAAGGACAAAGAGATAGGGTGAGGCCCTAGCAGGTTTGCCTCAGTGGCTAGAGCATTGGCCTGCGGACTAAAGGGTCCCAGGTTCGATTCCGGTCAAGAGCACATGCCCAGGTTGCCGGCTCCATCCCGTGGGCGGCATGCAGGAGGTAGCCAATCAATGATTCTCTCTCATCATTGATGTTTCAATCTCTCCCTCTCCTTTCCTCTCTGAAATCAATAAACATGTATATTAAAGAGAGAGAAAGAGAGAGAAAGAGAGAGAGAGAGAGAGAGAAGACAAAATGTTCCTTGGAGCAAACTGAAGAGTAGAAAATAAGGTTGAGACTAAGTGTGTTAAGAATATGAGCCAAGTTTGGATGCCACATTCACACACCAAAATTAATTCTGAGGACTTTCGGGGTCTTAACACTTGACAAAACAATGTGTTTCTTTTCTAAAATGTATTGTTTTTTATTGATTTTAGAGAGGGGAAGACATGTGCCCTGACTGGGACTTGAACCTGCCACCTTCTGGTGCATGGGACTATGTTCCACCAACTGAGCCATACCAGCCAGGGCCAATGTTTTACTATAGTGATACAAAATGAGCCTTTCCTCACTATAACATTTTAAATTCTTTGGAAGCAAAGACTGTAACATTTCTCACAGTACCCTTACAATAAGCTTTCAATATAATGATTATTTCTTGAATTGAGCTAGAGAGCTTTGCATGCCAAGAAAGGAGCTTAGCCCCAGCAAGTTTGGCTCTGTGGTTAGAGCAGCCGAGTTGCAGGCTCGATCCCCAGTAAGGGGTGTGCAGGAGGCAGCCGATAAATGATTCGCTCTCATCATTGATGTTTCTATCTCTCCCTTTTCCTTCCTCCCTGAAATCAATAAATTAAAAATATAAATAGAAATAAAATATTATAGCCTTAACTGCTGCTGCTTTTAAAAAAAAATCCTCACGAAGCTATTTTTTCCAGTTTTTTTTTCTTTTTTTAAAGAGAGAATGGAAGGGAGAGGGGGAGAAAGAGAGAAATATCATTGTGAGAGAGACACATCGACTGATTGCCTCCCGCTCACACCACAACCAGGGATCTAACCTGCAACCGAGATAGGTGACCTTGGGCAGGAATCGAACCAGCGATCCTTTGGTTGGTGGGCCAAAGCTGTAAACCATCAGGGCAGCTTTAGCTTCTCTTACCTGGAATATTTCATCCTTATGTGATTCAAAGGAATGCAACTTAAGTTTCAGATTTCTCAGATCCCACAAGGCAACAGTCTATGTAAAGAATGGAAAAAAAGAGTAATCAATAATTTTTTATGAGGAAAAAAAAGAAAACCCCTAAGTAAAAGATCTCTGCATTCAAAAGAAGCCAGAGAAATTCACCCTGTTTTCTTTTAAAATAAACCAAACTAACCTTATCAGCTGATCCTGTGGCAAGAATGAATTCACTATAAGGATTAAAAGAAAGGCAGTTCACTTCAGCAGTGTGAGCATCAACTGAGTGGCTTGGTTTGGAAGTATTGTTTGAACGAGTATCCCAGCTTTAGTACAAAAAACAACAACAAAAAACAGGAAAAAAAGGTTGAAAATGGGCAACTAAATATAAAACTTAATTTATGAAGAAAAACTTAAAAAATGGATTCTACTCACATCATAAGTTTCTGATCATCAGCAACGGATCCAAACAGAGACTCATGGAGCAGATGCCAGGAAACATCTTCTACTACTGCTGTATGCCCTGTAAAGATGGTCTTCGCATCCACAACTTTTCCTTCCTTTGGAACAGCACTGATGTCCCATAGGCAGATGGTCTTAAATGCAAAATTAACTATTATAGAAAAGGAAGATTCTCACTTCCCCACATACCCCAGAAAAAAAACTGGTAACAAGCCCAGATTTGTTTCAAAATGGAAAGGATACACACATGGTCATCTGAAGCACTAAGTAAATGCCCACTCAGATTTGGGTTCCAAGAAAGCCCATAGCCTTCCTTCTGATGTCCACGGAGACGCAAGTCTGGGTTGCACTCTCCAGAAGGATCTGCAAAGTAAGACACATCAAGACTATCCATTTCACTGCCTCTATGGATCTATTGAGCATAATGAAATTCTTATCAAGATGTCTAAAGCTCTTGACCAGCCAGCTTGGCTCATTGATTGAGCATCGACCTATGAACCAGCAGTTCATGGTTTGATTCCCAAGCAGAGCACATGACCAGGTTGCCGGCTTGATCCCGTGTGGGCTGTGCAGGAGGCAACTGATCAATGATTCTCTTTCATCACTGATGTTTCTATCTCTCTCCCCCTCTCCCTTCCCCTCTGAAATCAATATATATATATATTTTTTAAAAGAGCTCTAAAGCTCTTAATATTTATAAGCAATACAGACCTATTATGACCAAATATACAATGCTTAAGCTGCACCATCATTTTGTTCTATGTAAAGAAGCATTTTTTAACTTAAAGTTGAAGACTATCCACACATATCAATATAAATGACAAGATATTAAGTTATGCAAGGAATAACAAAAGCAACTAAAAGACTGAGTGGAGCAATGTATTCCCATAGTGACATTTGTATTTGAATTGAAGAGAGCAGGTACCTGGTTTAGAAGGATGTTTTGTATAGTCAAAAACAAGAACATCACTGGATGGAGTCTTTGTTGCAATGATGCATGGGTTCTGTGGCATATAACGTGCCCGGTTTACTTCTCCTTCATGGTTGATCTTAATTTCTATTTCAATTTTTCCACTAACAGAGCCAAAACCTCCAAATTCTGTAAATAAGAAATTGCAAATGAAGACAAAACAAGAGCTACTCTCTATATATCATTCAAAGCATTACACAGACAAGACTTTTTATCAGCAAGTTGGCATAATACCAGAAGTAATCTAGACATTTGTTAGCACCATAAAGTGCTTTCACATCCTTTATTTTGTGATTACCACAACCCTACAGAGTTACTATCTTCTGGGCCCCGAAGATAGTTATTATCTCCAAAAATTTTACACATGGGGTGACATGACTATGGCAGAACATAAACTGAATTCCTATTTTTCTGATTCTGAGCCTAGTACACTTTCAGCCCTCGTAGTTATGTACCTAATAAGAGTATTATATTACTATCTAAAATTAAGAAATAGCCCAGCTGTTGTGGCTCAGTGGTTGAGTATCAACCTATGAAATTGGAGGTCATGGTTCAATTCCCAATCAGGGCACATGCCTGGGTTGCAGGTCTATCCCCAGTAGGAGGTGTGCAGGAGGCAGACTGATCAATGTCTCTCCAATGTCTCTCCCATCATTGATGTTTCTATCTCTCTCTCCCTGTCCCTTCCTCTCTGAAATAAATAAAAAAATATGTATTTTAAAAAATAAATAAAATTAAGGAACACTGTGGACTCCACTTCAAAAGTAGGTTCTCAATAAGCAGTTTTCAAATCTCATTTAAAGTACCAAAAAAGTGTGCGGAGTAAATAAAACCCAAGTTGCTATTTTAATGAATATGAAGTACACAATGTGCTTGGTACTAAAGAGTCCCTCTTAGACTATTTTTAAAGCTCCAGTTTGGGGTAATCTTTCTGAAATATCACACCGTATCTTATTCCTACACAGTTCCTCTTAGTCCCGGTGAGGAAAAACAGAGCCACAAGAGCTCTTTCATTTTTCCAATCCCCCACTTATACTTGGCAACCATAGTCCCTGGTTGAAATAAACCAGGTAGGCAAGGACTAGACAAAAGCATTTTTAAAATTCATATTTCACTATTGCATGCCCTTAGAGTTCTCCTAAGTACCATTATAAAATGTAAAACACAACATTATTTGTGATTATGTAAATCTTGGCAAACATAATATAAACAAAGGTAGTCAATGATTAGTCTAAAGAATTATACAAGACAGCATGATAAGGTACCTAAGAGTCACACCTTAGCCTAAATGACTCTGCCCCTTACTAGCTTGGTGTTTTGGGGAAGGCCTTCAATTTCTAAGCCCCAAATACCTTATCCAAAAAGCAAGTTCTGGGAGTAAATGAAAATGCTATCAACAGCACTGTTATACAAGTATTATACTTTGAAGGATAAAAATCTTTTCAAAAAGCAAAGACATAGATGAGTAATATGGCTAGCAGTTTAGATAACTTTCAACTTTAAAATAACTTTTACAAGTTGAAAACCAAAATTTTCAAAGAAGTTAAAAACCTAAAAATAAAAGTTCAAAATAGACTCTAAAAGAGAAAAACCCACATTAAGCAAGTTTTTTTAAAGACCTCTAGACCATGGAGCACCTACAATTTAAAAATAGAAGGCATATGATGCATGATGTCAAGGAACTTTTAGTCCAAACATGGGGACATAGCCCTAGCTGGATAGAGCAGTGGTTGCCAATTGGTGGTCCACAGACCACTGGTGGTCCGTGAGGTCTGAAAGGTTGGCAACCACTGGGATAGAGCATCAGCTTTATCAAACCCAAAGGGTCCTGGGTTTGATTCTAGTTAAGGGCACGGAACTTGGTTGCAGGCTCTTCCCTGGCCTGGGCCCGGGTCTGGGTCAGGGCTGGTGCGGGAAGCAGCCATTCGATGTTTTTCTCTCACACCGGTGTTTCTCTCTTGTCTTTCCCTCTCTCTTCCACTCTCTCTAAAAGTCAATGGAAAAATATCCTCAGGTGAGGATTAACAAAACACACACACCAAAACAAACAAACACGGGGACATAACTACAGATGAAAAAAGCTTAACAGTCAGAAAAAAGATACCAATAACAAGGGAAGAGTAGTAACTGGCATGGAGCCCACAGAGCAATAAGTGTTACAAAATATGGGTTATTTCAGTACTGGGTATATACTGAACAGAGGGCTTCCCTAACTGTAAGAAATCAGCATAGCCCTAGTCGTTTGCTCAGTGGTTAAAGCGTCAGCCCTCAGAGTGAGGGTCACGGGTTCGATTTAAGACTAGGGCATGTAGCTGGGTTGTAGGCTCGATCCTCAGCCCTAGTTGGGGAGCGTGCGGGAGGCAACCAACTGATGTGTCTCTCTCATATCAATGTTTCTCCCTCTCCCTTCCACTTTTTAAAAATCAATGAAAAAAATATCCTCAGGTGGATTAATAACAACAAAATCAGCATAGAGGATTTATAATTGAGGTTTTATAAAGATGAGGACGTATCTATTAAAAAATAATTAGAATATGTGGAATATAATGAACAAAATAAACTGATGAACAAAATAGATCCAGAAACATAGAAGCACAGAACAGACTGTGGAATCTAAGAGAGAAGGTAGGGGAGGGAGAATGGGTGGGAAGAGATCAACCAAAGAAGTTGTATGCATTTATGCATAACCCGTGGACATAGACAATAGGGTGTAAAGGCCTGGGGTGAGGGGGCGGGGCGTGCTACAATGGGTCAATGAGGGGGGAAAAGGGGGATTTCCAATAATAAAAATAATAATTAGAAGTTCTATAAGTTGAAGCTGATCTGTCAAAGGCCAAACTTGAAGTAGAAAGACTGTGGTACTAATGTAGTCATGGGTCACTTAACAACTGGGAAACATTCTAATAAATGTGTTAGGTAACTTCATCATTGTGTGAACATCATAGAGTGCACTTACACAACCCTAGAATCTCTAGCCTACTACACACCTAGGCTAGTTATATGGTATAGCCGACTGCTCCTAGGCTACAAACCTGTACTTACAGCATGTCACTGTACTGAACACTGCAGGCAACTGTAACGCAATAGTAAGTACTTGTGTATCTAAACATAGAAAAGATACAGTAAAAATACAGTATAAAGGATAAAAAATGGTACACCTGACTGAGGCATTTATCATAAACAGAACTTGCAGGACTGGAAGTTGCTCTGTGTGAGCTGGTGAGTGAATGCCTAGGATATTACTGTTCACTACCACAGACCTTACAACCCAGCCCACGAGATCTCCCCTGGCTTTCTTCTGACAGGGTCAGAAACAGAACATCAAAGCTGTCAATGCTGCTCTGTGAACAGGGATGTGGGCTGGATTGGAAATACAGAGGAGAAACTGGCTAGGTAAAGTGTAGCTGACCATTAACAGTGACTGGCGGGAGGCCTAAAGATTAGGAGGAATAAAAAAATCAAGATGGAAAGATAAAAGAACACCGAGAATTGTCTTGGCAATGTGGTTTTTGGTTCTTGCATAAACAGTGGTTAGATTAAGAAACTTTGGGGTACTCATAATAAGAGTTTAATATGGAGAGAATGTAGAACTACAGACTCAATTTTATTAATCTTCACTTGAGGATATGTTTCTTTTTTTTAAGTCTTTAAAATATATACATATTTTTATTGATTTCAGAGAGGAAGGGAGAGAGAGAGAGAGAGAGAGAGAGAGAGAGAGAGACATCAATGATGAGAGAGAATCATTGATTGGCTGCCTCCTGCATGCCCGCACCCCCCCCACTGGGGATGGAGCCACAACCCGGGCCTGTGCCCTTGACCAGAATCGAATCCCAGACCCTTCAGTCCGCAGGCCCATGCTCTTTACATTAAGCCAAACCAGTTAGGGCCACCCGCGGATATGTTTCTATTGATTTTTAGAGAGAGGGAAGGATGGGAGAGAAGGGAGAAAAGGGAGGAGGAGAGACATAAACACAGAGAGACAGAGACATTGATATAAGAGAGAAACATCGATCGGTTGTCTCCCATATGTGCCCTGACCCGGAACAGGGATCGAACCCCAACCTTTTTTGGTGTATAGAACGACACTCCAACCAATTGACCCACTGGGCCAGGGCTCAGTATTTTGACTTTGGAAATTTGTTTTTGGTTTTATTAAACTTATCTGGCACAAAGGGCTCTCTCTGGCATTAAATTGATGATGAAATAAAGCTTACCACAACTTGAAAATATTTCCAAAGTACAGGGACCGGATGGCTTCATACTACCACAGGAAGCTTTTACTAAAGTGGCAGTGGCACTTAATACTTGTTAAGGTAGATCCTGTGGACCTGTGTGCTTGTACAGGATCTTAGGTCCTCAACAAAGAATGTACAGCAATGTACTCTGAAGACCATTCAAGCTAGAACTGGAAGGGAGATTGTCCTCTGAATATATAGCGCTGGGAGGACAGCCTCTTCTGTGCCGCAACCGTCAGTGGCTGACTGATGGGGATGTAATCTGCATACTCAAAATTGAGGTGCTGTGAGAGGGAATCTACTGCCAACCCACACAGATATTGTACCTATCACAGAGGAAAAAATTCCTCCTAAACCATATATCCTTCCATTTCTTCAAGGAAATTCAACTCCATTATAATCTTATGGGAACACTGTAGTATATGTGGTTCATCACTGACCAAAATGTCATGTGGAGCATGATTGAATAGTAAACTGAAAACTATCAAGATTTAACTGTATCCCTATCTTGTTTCTCTCTATATAAAACATTTTAAAAATTTGAGGTGTAACATAATACAATCAAATGTCTAGCTTGACAAATTTTTACGTAAGCATAATACACCAAGGGAACCACCACCCATCAAATATAGAGCATATGGCCCCCTAGAAGGCACTGTAATGTCCTTCCCAACCAAGCTCCTCCCTCTACAAACTTAGGTAACTAGCATTCTGATTTCTACTATACCAAGCCACTTTTTGAGTCCATAAACATTTTGAAACTAAGAATAAGTTCTAACATCCTGAGTCAAGCAAGTATTTAATTACTAGAGGCCCGGTGCACAAAAATTTGTGCACTGGGGGGGGGGGGGGGGTCCCCTCAGCCTGGCCTGTGCCCTCTCACAGTCTGGGACCCCTTGGGGGATGACCACCTGCTGGCTTAGGCCTGCTCCCTGGGGGATTTGGCCTAAGCTGGCAGTCAGACATCCCTCTGGCAGCCCGGGAGCCCCCAGGGGATGTCCACTTGCCAGCGGGGAGCAGGCCTAAGCTGCAGTCGGGCATCCTTAGCGCTGCTGAGGAGGCAGGAGAGGCTCCCACCACCACCGCTGTATTGGCAGCTGGCAGCCTGGCTTGTGGCTGAGCAGAGCTCCCCCTGTGGGAGCACAATGACCACCAGGGGGCAGCTCCTGCATTGAGCGTCTGTCCCCTGGTGGTCAGTGTGTGTCATAGTGACCAGTCATTCCCAGTGGTTCTGCTGTTAGGGTCAATTTGCATAATACCCTTTTATTATACAGGATAGAGGCCTGGTGCATGGGTGGGGGTCCCACTGGGGTGCCTGGCCAGTGTGGGTGAGGGGCTGATAGCTGTTTGCAGGCTGGCCAAGCCCCCCAGCAGGGACCCTCACCCCATGAGGGTGTGGACATCCTGGGTGAGGGGCTGATGGCTGTTTGCAAGCTGGCCACAGCCCCCAGCCACCCAAGCTCCCAGTGGAGGCTGGCTGGAAGCAGGTATCTGGGATTTATTTATCTTCTATAATTGAAACTTTGCTGCTTTGAGCAGAGGTCACAGCCAGCCAGGGCAGGCGGGAAGCTTAGCTTCCTCTATCGCCGGGCAACCAAGCCTCCTGCTTGCTCCAGCTCCGTGGCTGCCATCTTGGTTGGGTTAATTTGCATATAGTCGCTGATTGGCTGGTGGGCGTGGCTTGGGGGTATTGCAGAGGTGTGGTCAATTTGCATGTTTCTCTTTTATTAGATTAGATCTTATCAGAATTTAATACGTTTATTATGTATAATTGAGATCAAAGTTTAAAGCTACCTTACAAACAACAGCACACACACTCACAGCTAATTCCCCCAAATAAATTGTTATTTGTTGGCATTTGAAGATCTTAGTAACATGATCTTAAGTAAAAATTTACATCTAACCTTTTTCAGAGCTTAAAAGGTGACTATAGCCAGACTAAATCTAATATAAAAAGGCAAATACTTTCTAATGTCAAAACAAGACTAAGCCAGTTTTTAGTTCTTTCACTTTGAAAGTTCAACGATATTTTGAAGCTATCTGCCATCAATTATCTCAAATCAAATAGGAGCAATTAGCTCATAATCAATTACAATAGTTCAAGCTAAGAAAGAAACAAGGATGTTTTATCTGGCCAAGGAGAGACACTAGGAAGCTATCTAGTAGACATTAGGTTATATCTACTTCTACCACTGCTGAGACCATATGGAGATAGGCCCCCCCTTCCCCGACACACACTTTAAGCACCAAGGCTATCCAGTGATCTGAAAATTTTGGGGGTGAAGTGGGGGGGGGGGAGAGAAGTAAAAAGAAGAGAAAGGAATGGGAGATATGTTGTGTAACCTTAGGGCAAGTTAAAAAACATCTGAGTATCAGCTTCCTTGAGGATTAATTATGGTGATTTATACTGTATAATCATACAAATATATCATACACATTACTGGTATTTTTCACTGTTATTTTACTAATAAGCTTTAGTAAGAGGGCTAAATGTTATCATTGGAACATAAAAGTGAATTGGTTTGATGCCAAATAACTCAGTTACCAGAAAAATACTTGAGTATACATGTTAAAAGATGCCATTTCAAAAACTAGCGGAGAAAATGAATTAGCCAGCAAATGGCATTTAAAAAATTGCTAACCACTTAGAAAAACACTTGAATCCCTAATTCCATAACTAACACCAGAAAGATTGAAGTTTTAATGGTCAAAATTTAAAAGTACCACCCTAGCCGGCTTGGCTCAGTGGATAGAGCATCAGCCTGTGGACTGAAGGGTCCCAGGTTTGATTCCGGACAAGGGCACATGCCTGGGTTGCGGGCTCGATCAATGATTCTCTCTCATCATTGATGTTTCTATCTCTCTCTCCTTCTCCCTTCCTCTCCGAAATCAATAAAGAAATATATTTAAATAAATAAATAAATAAATAAATAAATAAATACCAGAAAACAACAGCTATTTTAAAAAAATCTTGGAATAAGGTCTTTCAAAAGCTGAAGGATATCAGAACAATGTTGGACAATTAAAAACACATTGCTTCTAGATAAGCCTTAAGATTATAAAATAAAACTGGGAAAATGATCACAACCTATTTATTGGGGATAACCTAC